GTTATTTCCTGGTTGCTCCGGGAGAGCCTCTGATACTGGGCAGCCGCGTACTGATGGTGAGTCATCGGTAAATGAGCGCGTGCATGATGACGTCAGCGTTTCATCATTTCGTCTTCCAATTGATTCCATATCCAGCTATCTAAATGCCATAGTGTAGCCACGTTGTCCTAGCAAGGGACATAATAAGTCAGTCTGATTGAAGGTTGTATCACCTCTTTATAGATGGGTCTGATCTTGAGATCTCGTATTCTCCTTGCTTGTTGTTACTTTGCTATTTACGTTGTGCATTCGCCTTATCTTCTAGTTCCGAACGTAACAATTAACTACAAATGCTTCAAGGGAGCGATTTTTTTGCGGTTAGGCGACGATCTCTCTTCTCTCTCGCGCTCGCGCGCTCTCTCTCTCTTTATATATATATATATATATGCTAACAACTATCTTAGCTTACATTTTTTCCGGTTAGCCGCAAGCAAGAAGGAAATGACACAACGACCAGACTATTAAATTCGCATATCCATCACACGTGCCGCCTAACGGTTTATTAATTAACGTCAATCTATTACAAAATGATATAATTAGAATGACGTCACGCATCGGTAATTAGACTATGCGTTCCATAATTGTGCTAGACTTCGCCTAAACTTCCATTTTTCGCGATCGTGTTTTCAAAAAGGCCGCATCACTGCGCTCTGATTGCCTATACATATAAGTACCACTAAGACATATGTCAACCGCATTTTGTGATAATCCTCTAGAGACATAAACGAAGATAAACTAAGGAATACACCGAGCTGTCACAGCTGTACATGAGAGCCCGCGTGTAACACAACTCCACGTATAAGACAAACAACGGATGACAGAAGCTCTAGTAATAGAGCGAGACAGCCAGCGTCTCAGATGAAAGCTTTCCATCATAACAACATTTGGTGCATTTGTCTAGATGTAGTTAGCTCCTGTGGTAAATATTTTGCGCAACAGATTTCGCAGTTGTAACCCCCTGCAATCATGCAGTTGTGTTTCCTTGTGCATGCTTCTCGGCGTTGACTACAACTCCCTGACCATGGGCATCGGCTAATGAAGGTGATTTTTTTACGCTTCAAGCATTTTCTCGCCTCTTCAGTGTTATGCTGTCATCCTATTCGTCGAGCTTCGCCTCGATATCTCTCCTGTGATGTGTGATTAGCACACGGTGTTTGACGTTACCTGCGAAATGTCACAGGCGGTTCAGTCATGTCGATGCTTGCACTACGTATAGTAATAACTACGGGTTCAGTTCTGAGTGGAGACACTTCAGTGTTATAAGGGTTAAACACAATACATATATACACATGGTTTCATCGTGGTTTTTTAATCGCATCGTCGGCGTTGAGTTTATGATTCTAGTTGCGGGTTCACTTTCAATATCTGGGTTGCCCCAGAATAGCGTGGCATTTCTCGCACATGCACGCACGCATGCACGGACGTGCACACACACACACGAGCGCGCACACGCACGCGCAAGCGCACGCACGCGCACGCACGCACGCACGCACGCACGCACGCACGCACACACG